ATCATCATCATCATCATGCCGGCCTGAGCACCATGTCCAGCAACAATGTGCACCTTGCAAAGCTGCCACAGTAAGGTGTGAGGCAAGCAACCTGTTTGACAACTTCCCCTGCATGCAATCTGTACTGTACTCAGTTCACTTTACGAATGGACATGTTCATCGAGTCTTCATCATGTTCCATGGGTTCTCATGATCATGTATATCTTTTTTCTGCACGGGGCAGCACTCGGCTGCGTTGCCCGTGATCAAAGGAACTCTGGCTTACCAACAATGGTAAGCCCGCTGTGCCCCCGAAAGCACTGCATAAGCCACTTGGCCTTTCGAAGTGCCCAAATCCAATCTACGATTGGCCCCACAAACACCCCGTGTCTGTCTTTGCAGACTCAGAAATCTGCATCCAAAGTAAATGCATTCAATCCTTGCTCTTCCTTACCAGCCATGACCCCAGCCTTCTGATACTCGCCAACCCGCTTCTCGAAGAAGTTGGTCTTGCCCTGGAGAGAGATCAACTCCATGAAGTCAAAAGGGTTGGATGAGCCAAAGATTTTGCTGTGGCCCAAGGCTGTCAGAAGTCGATCTGCCACAAACTCAATGTACTGTGTCATCAAATCCTTGTTCATGCCAATGAGATCACAAGAGAGGGCATCGCAAATGAACTTTCGCTCAACCTCCACTGCACCCCTGATGATGTCGTGTACCACCTCTTCTGGCAGCCTGTTCTGAAGCATGCCGTAGAGCAAGCATGCAAAATCCGCATGCAATCCCTCATCACGAGAGATGAGCTCATTAGAGAAGGTCAGGCCAGGCATCAAACCGCGCTTCTTCAACCAAAAAATCGCACAGAAGGAGCCGCTGAAAAGCACGCCCTCCACAGCAGCAAATGCCACCAGGCGCTCGGCAAAGCTGCTCTCGCGGTTCATCCATTGGATGGCCCAGCTAGCCTTCTCACAAACTGCTGGCATCGTGTGGATGGCGTCGAACAAATCATCCTTCTCCTTGGGGTCTTTGATGTATTGCTCAATGAGAAGCGAGTAGGTCTCGGAGTGGATGTTTTCCATCGCAATCTGAAAGCCATAAAATGCCCTTGCTTCGGGGATTTGCACCTCAGATGAAAACTGCGTTGCCAGATTCTCCAGCACAATGCCATCACTCGCGGCAAAAAATGCCAGCACGTGTTTCACAAAGTGCTGTTCACCCTCATTGAGACCATTCCAGTCCTTGTTGTCCTGTGCCAGGTCAATCTCCTCAGCAGTCCAAAAGGACGCTTCGTGCTTCTTGTACATCTCCCAGACCTCCGGGTACTGAAGGGGAAACATCACCCAGCGACGTGGGTTCTCCTTGAGGAGGGGATCATTCTTCTCCAGATCCTTGTACTGGTCAGAGATGGAGCTCTTCTTCGGCACGGTGCGTGCCAGGTCATCGGAGTTGGGGATCTGACATGGCTTCAGAACCTCATCTAAGTCTCCTGGAAGTGTCACCTCGTAGTTTCGCGCCACAAGGCCATCAGGTGCAATCAGTGTGTGGTGTGGAAGACCTGAGACTTGATAGCTCTCGGGTGAGTCCTCATCCACTAATGATGCCATCACGCAACGATGGATGGAGTGCAGCTTGGCAAAGGCGATCGCATCATCCAAAGAGCCATCAACGCAAATCAAGACAAACTGGCAACGGTCTGAATAGGTTTCTGCCAACTGATCGAGATGTTGGGCAGCCTTGGGGCAAGCTTTGCACCAAGGTGCGAAGAAATCTACAATCATGGCCTGTCCTGACTTCCGCAAAGCCAAAAGATTTGATGTGCTCTTTTCTCCGGAGACAAACACCTCCAAGGCCATATCCGGCGCAGCCATTCCAATCACCTGGGCCATCTTGGACGAAACTGAGAAGGCGGAAGTTCTTGAGCACCTCTGGACTTGAGCTGAGAGCGTTCCAGGTGTGTTCAGGAGATACATTCAAGCTGTGCCGCCCTTCCGAGGCTGATCTCAAACGCACAAAACTCACATCTCATGATGTTGGCACACAAAAGAAATGACTCATTAGCTAGTGCAGCACTCATACTTCATGACTCTTCATGCATTCAACATGCGTAGGGCGTAGATATATGCTTGTCCCAACTGGGTCGAGAACGCCAACCGTCCAGTCTGAGCACCGGCGCACCGGTCTCAGTTCGCCGCGATGGACGGCTGCGGACGGGACGGACGGGACGGTCTGTTTCAATAGGGAGAGAAAGAGAAGACAACGATCCGAAGAGACAAAAAACATCTAAAACACATGGAAAGAAGGACTAAGAAGGATATGGGAGTTTGCTCAAAATGAAGGAAAGTAGACGACGATGACGACAACAATGGAAAAGTAGAAACTTATGGGAATGTGCTGTCCTTTGAGTGGCCTTGTTACAAACAACCTTTCGCACAGGTCCTCTCGCTGTGCACGGTTCGGTTTCCAACTCTTACTAGGCCTGCACGGTCCGCGCATGCTTGTGCCAGGTCAAGCTCAGTTCAGTGTCCTTTCCCACCCAAATGCATCCAATTGCCACCTATATACATGTACAAAAGTCATCTGAAATCTCGCTGGGCCAGTGACGTTCTTCCGAACTCCGGCTCGCGGAGGAGTGGGTGGAAGTCTGTCCTGCAGCACTCCAAACCCTCCTTCAGACCTTTGGACCATGAACCATCTATATCATTGCCATTGCTAATGTCAAACAAATGAATGAAGCTGTGAAGGAGCCTACGAGGCACTGCAGCCTTGCATTTGCCCGGACACAAGCGTGCATGGCTCCCATGTTTTTGTCTAAGCCGGCAAACATGGTTCGATCGCACAGCCACCAAGTGTTTCAAAGGCTGCGACAAGTGTGATGGCGCAGCGGACGTCCGGCTGTTGTTTGCGATGGTTCGTCAGAGACAAAGATTGGCAACTTTGCAACTGCATGCAACTGCAACACTATCACTTTGATCATGGCATTGCTAAAAAATCGTTGCATCTTGGGCTCTGAAAGGCACTGTGGCCAAAACTGGCAATTCGTCGACATTGGAACTCACCCTAGGCCCGCTTTGCGTCGCCGCACACGCTTCTTCCACAATGCATAGAGAGCACCTGCACAAGTCTGATCTGATTCTCGCTGATTCGGTGCTGAGTTGGTGAGTCTCAACACTTCCAATCAACTGCTTTCTTTGCTTCATCAGCTTTCCCAAAGCACCTAGTATGGTGAAGAACAGCGGGACAATGAGCCAGGTCTTGCTGCCAGCTGCAGCGCGATTGGGATGCCGCTCAATTTGAGCTGGTTTCCGCTGGACTCGAACTGCACACTCCTTGGGCGGCGCCAAAAATATGAATCCGCCGACCCCGGCTGAAGGAGGGGGAGCGCGCGAGGGATTACAGGTGCGGGAGCCTTGCGCTTCTTCGTCTCAGCACGAACCTGCAGGCAACAGACGCTTCCACTGCTCCATGCTGCTCG